AAAAAGCAAACACTTTATTGTACTGTCATATGTTAAGGTCATAAAACATTCTTCTTTTTCAGGTCTTCCTATCCATTCTTAGATGGTGGTTTTAGAGATAATCTACAAACTCCTTAATACTCCTCCCCCAAAGAAATAGAGATTAGCTCCTCTCCCCTTCTGTGTAGGCAGTATTTAGTATTTCATTACTAATAAAAAGAATACATCTTTAAAAAGTGATATTATATATTTTTCTGAGATTATAAAATTGTAGCTTTGATTTTTCAGTATTCTTTCTCCCTCTCTCTTTTGTTTCAATGGTTTTAAAGAAATCCAGCTAACATCATGAGGACACTAAGGCAACCTCCAGAAAGACCCATATGGCAAAAGATTATGGGATCTTTGAATATTTGAAAGCATTCTCTTTTGAAAAAGATTTGGCCCTTGTGTTTCTAAGTAGGACAGGTTAAACTATATTCTTGAAAAAGTCTACTGGACTTTTGACCCTCTGAATCAATTGTTAATGTGGTGTTTTTCTATAAAATGATTCATTTCATCTTCTTGATGAAATATATAGTCCAGGCTGGCCTTGAGCTTGCTATGTAGCTGAGGTTGGCCTCAAATTTGGGATCCTCTGGCCTCAGCTTTCCTAATCCTGGGATTACAGGGGTTTACCACCACACCCTGTACTTCCTCTTGGGGTTTATATCTACTTTCATAAATTTATGTAAATAAATCTCATTGATTTCCTTTTTAGCATATCTAAACTTATCTTTTTTTTTTTTCTTGATTAGTATACTGGTCAGCTTTCTATTGTTGGGACAAAGGTTCCTGACACCTACAACTTAAAGAGAAGTGCATTTTAGCTCACAGTTGGAGGCTCAGTCCATGGTTAACCAGCTCCAATGCAGAACGTGGTAGAGGAAAGATGCTCAAATTCATGGCAGCACGAAGCAGGGTGGGTTGGAAAGAACTAGAGAGAAGTGGCCATGGACTAGACAGAGTCCTCAAGGTCATACTCCCAAGACCCACTTCCTCTAACGAGGCCCCATCTCTGAACAGCCCATTCAGCTATGACCGCCTCCATGGTTTAACCCATTCAGGAGGCTAGGGCCTTCCCAATCCAGTCATTCTCTAAAAATCTCTTAATGCAGTCAAGTTCTCAGGCAAGCTTAACTAGCACAATGAGTTTGACCAGTGATTTATATTAACTATATTTTCAATACTATGGTTTTTTTCACTCTAACTCATGGACTGTCAGGTTGGTTGTTTTTTTTTGTTTTGCCGTGCTAGGGATGGAACACGGGCCTTATGCATTCTAGGCAAGTGCTCTACAACTGAATCCTAGTCTCTTGTTATAATTCATTAAATTTTGCTTACAATCATTTCAAATTCTTCCCTTTTATCTTGTTTTCCACTGTTTTTCTAGTTTTTCAACATAGGTGGTTGTCTCACCTTTTTAAAAACTTTGTTCATTTTTACTGCTGCAGATACTTAATACTATACTATAATCTTCAATTGCTTCAATACCATAGATACTGATATTTCATCAAGATAATGATATATATCAAGATTTTATCATTATTTTCATGAAGTTTCTGCAGTTTAATCTGTCTTTCCCCTGTGTTTCAAAGGCTATTTACAGCACACATTTAAATTACTAAACACATGCCTGCCTGGCAAGCACAAGGTCCTGAGTTCAATTCCCGGTACCAATAATAAATAAATAGATAAATAAACAAACAGAAAGGAAGAGTTTTGTTTTTTTTTTTTTACTTTTTCTTTTGTGGTACTGAAGATCAAATCTATGTCCTCACCTTCCCACTGAGCTACATCCCCACATCACTCTGACCTTTTTTTTTCTAAGATGGTGTTTCACTAAATCTGTAAATTGCTCAGGCCATGCTAGAACTTGTAATTCTCCTACCTCAGCTTCCTTGAATGCTGGAATTACAGGTTTCATACTACTATGCCTATCTTTTACTTTATTTTTTAATGCGAGTTTTATTGCACTGAGATTTGAAGTGATTCTTTGTATTATTCCTACTCTATTAATTATAGTTTTCTTTATGGTTTATGATATGGTCAATCTTTATGAGTATTCCATGTACTTTTGTTTCTTGGTGCTGAAGATTAAATCCAAGGCTTCCTTCGTGCTACTTCTGGGCTACATCCTCAGCCCAAGTATGCTTTACTGGATGTTGTACAAGTAAGCTTTGACTGGATTCCAAGCTTAATATACATTTATAATTTCTCACTATCTTACCATCTTTCTAATCACTTAATGGAGCTCCTTCAATTAAGAGAAGTACATTGTTGTGTCTCCTATTATTAAGTTCTACTTCTTCTCTAGTCCCTATAGTTTCTGCTTTATGAAAGCTGCTGCCTGGGAGAATATACATATTAATAATGTAAGTATCCATTGTAAATTATAATATTTACTATTACAAAAGTAATTTTTTTAAATAGGTTTTTTAATCTAATTTTTACTTTTTCAGATAGCAATTTTGTGATTTTGGTCTCCTCTTTCTTTGCATTTGCCTTCAGCTCTTAAATTTTTTTTCTTTTTTGGTTTTGTTTTTTTTTTCCAGTACCTGGAATTGAACTCTTGACCTTGCACTTGCCAGGCAGGCGCTGTACCACTGAGCTAAATCCCTAGCCCCTGCCTTCAGCTCTTACATGTACCAGTGATCTGAAAATTGACCTTTGAAGGTCAGTATTTAGCTGGCTATAAAATCAATAGCTCAAATTGAGTATCTTATTTAAATCTGTCACTGCATTATCTTCTGGCATAATGATATTGCTGATGTCAAAAATTTTATATAAATCTCAGTATTTTTTCTTAAAAAAGGATTTTGCCCAAATGGCCAAATAATTTTTTCCAAATTCTATTTTTTGCTGTTTGATCATAGCTTTTGTTTTCCTCTTTTACCATTGTAAAATATTAAATTTTATGTATGGTTGTGAGCATTCTTTCTTTTCCAGAAGAAATTATTCTTTCCATTATTCTCTTTTTTTCTTATAATTTCTCTAGAATGTGACCATAGTTCTACCTTGATTCTCATGGGGGAGCTTTCCTAATTTCATGGCAGTAGGGCTACCTCATCTGTTGTCAGAATAAAGTATCCAAAACTGTCACTGAAAGACAAGGTTGGTGGTGCAACCTGTAATCCCATCTCTTGGGAGGCTGAGGCAGGAGGATCACCATGTGCGCAAGGCCAGCCTGGGCTGCCTAACGAGTTCAAGGCCAGCCCAAACTACATAGTGAAACTGTTTCAAAAAACAAACAAAGCAAACAACAACAACAAAAAACACTGAGTATCTTCTGAGACATGCTCCTTCTGCTTCCTTCCCCCATTTATTCTCTGATCACTTCTTTTCCTGGCCTACTCTGAGTATTTCTCAATTTAGACTCTACTTCCAGAAGTTACTGCTTCAGTGTATGACTGTGTCCTAGAAAAGGGATTTGGTTGTTAGCATGAGATCATCAGGCCCAGACTATCCCAGCACCACCCACTGTTCTGCAGTCACCTTATATTCAAGTATGAAGCACAACTAGTAAAGCTCCCCGTCAGTTTCTCCGGTCATTCATAGATAGGCACCGGAGACTTCCACGTTGGACAGGGATCCCTCCATTTCAGATTAATACCTGTTGGTAATTTGTTTTCTGGAAGTGGCTTTTCCTTCCTTTTGCTTCATTCCACACAGCTGCTGATTCTACCCTAGTCTTGTTGCTGTCTATTGTTTTGTCCCAACCATTTGCGCTTTTGAAGTTCATAGGAATAACTTGCTATCCCATTTTTTGTAGATGTTATTGATGAGTTTTTAGTTTTGTTATCCTAATCTCCTAATTGCTTTGAGGGAAATTCAGCGAGTTTCAAAAACTGCTGCCACCTTTTCAGTTTTCTCAGCCAGCAGTGTCCCATTTCTTCCCTAAACTCACAATATTCTCCATCAACTACTCTATTGTTTTCTTTTTTTTTAAACAAGTTTTATTTTAAAGAGAAAACAACAAAATAACAAGGAAAAACAAAACAACACAAAAACAATAAAAATGATACAAAATTTCAAAACAAGATAGGAATTAACAATAGTTGTTATAGTACATATTATCTTTAACAAAGTTGCTCAGATTACCAGATGTAAGAATGCAAGATTGATCAAACAATTAAAGAGAATAAAAAGTAATAAAAATTAGAAACGATACACAGCTTCACTAAACAAGATGCTAGGAATTCAACAATGGTTGTTATATTGCACATTGTTGTCTTCAAATTAGCTGTTCTATTGTTTCTTGGTAGTATTTATTTTTCAACTGTCTATTGATTCTCTCTCCTTTCCATGTGTTTTATATAAGAGCAAACTGTTTCGTTTACCACTACATCCCCCAGCACATAGCACAGAGCAATGACAGTGAAGCTTTTAGAGATTTCAGTAATACAAACAGCATGCTGTGACACGTGTGCCGCAGGTTCGCTCCCACTGGCATAGAGGCTTCTACAATAAGGATGGGATAATACGTCTGAATATATAAATAAATAGATGGACAATAGCAATGCTGCTGTACAGAATGAAACTTTCTAATATCCTTGCCTAGAATCTTCTGTCCATACAAAATTATCTTAAAATCTGCATTGTTACCTTGATTTTTTAATGTATTTTAATTCATGAAATCTTTGTTTAGAAAATGTGTTAAAAACTTAAATATCGATTTCTTATATTTTATTACAAATAGGCAATGACTTATACTTTCCAATTTTCAGTATTTTATATCTCATTAAAATGTACCCCCAAAAAATAGATTCTAACTAACCTTATGTTTCTCACGTTTTCTCCTTTTGGATTTTTTCTTCTCTCTTTCTTTCTTGTGTTTTTTTCTTGATTTTCTGTAGGCTTTCTCATTTTTATGCTTTTCATCCTCTTTTGTTTGCTGTTCTTGTGTTTCTTCAAATCCTGCATCATCTATTTCACCATCTTCTAATTCACCATCTTCTCTATAGAGGACAATGAAAGTTTTAATTTTCAAGTGGTAGTTCTAAAACAAGTCTGATAGAAACAATTAAAAAGAAAAAAGACAGGCACCAAGAATTTAAGTGATAAATCTATAAGGTTCAAACAGTAAACATTTTATATTTCAAAAACTTTTTAAAAATGAAAGAACCACCAAGCATGGTAGCACACATCTGTAACCCCAGCCCTCAGGCAGCTGAGGCAGGAGGATTGCTGCATGTTCTAGGCCAAGTTGTGCTATAAAGTGAGTTTAAAGCCAGCCTGAACTGCATAGTGAAACCCTGTCTCAAAAAGACAAAAAGAAGAAAAAAAAGGAAGAACCAGGACTGTGAATATGATTTATGATAGGGCATTTGCCTAGCACATACAAAGCACTGGGTTTGATCCCCAGTACTGGGGTTGGGGGAGACAACAATTCTCAGCAGTGAAAGTTTATCTGCCTCTAATTTAGATCAGTATCTCTGACTGAATGAATAAATGAACATAATACACTACTATCCCAAAGTATTATAGCTACCATCTACCTTTTTCCTTTAGGAAAAAAAATCTGTATTTGTAGAAACACTAATTACAGTAAAGAATTTTTTAACTTAGTGGCCAATAGCTAGCTTTAAATAGCTTTCAAATAAAAGCAACCAGCCAGGTGTGGTGGCACACAGCTGTAATCCCAGTACTTGGGAGGCTGAGGTAGGAGGATCCCTGGGAGTTCAAAGCCATCCTGAGCTACATAGTGAGTTCAAGCCCAGCCTGAACTATACAGCAAGACATTGTCTCAGTAAGTAAGGAAGTAAATAAATAAATAAATATTTCTTACTTTGCTTACTTTAATAAGTAAACAAATACTAATATATAGAAGAGTAATAAAACCCAATCCACAAAAAATTACAAATTCCTTTACTCGAATCTGTAAAAAATATTCACAGTAAATTACATCTAATTCTGCTTCCCAAAGAGTAATATCTTTGCTATTATGGAAGCTGAACCTTAGAAACTGACTTTTGGATTGATATGACATTTTTATACTTATAGAATTCAAAATGTTCCTAAGTGATATTTTTAAATGCAAATAATCAACTGACACACACAGGAGGGTGAATAAATAAAACAATTTAAACATTTAATCATGCTTCTATAACACTACACAACAAGTAACATATGGTGGTGCAGAAAGACAAATGTCTTTGTGTAACTGGCAGCAAATGAGACGCATCCTAACTATGGTGTGTGCATTTTACAGTAATTTAGAATTACTAGGAATGTGTAATTTCTAAAATGCAAAATTGGCCATGTCACTTGTCTGCTAAAAATCCTCAATAATGACATGTTTGATGTTTGCTTCAAAATAATCCACTGGAGCCAGGAATGGTGGCACACACTGGTAACTCCACTGCTTGGGAGGCTGAGGCGGGAGGATCACACCATGTTTAAGGCTGGCTTTGGGTACACAGTCAGTTCAAGGCCAGCCTGAACTACATAGTGAGACCCTGTCTCCAAAAAACAAAATCTACTGGGAATAGAGGAGGCGGCCTCAAGATTGACTATGGGTTGGTAATGACCAAAACTGTGAGATGTGTACAGGAGGATTCAGCCTACCAGCCTTCATATATTTAAAACTTTCTATAATAAAAAGATAATATTCATTATTCCCATCTGGGCTGAGGATATCAAATCTCCTTGATATTGCCAGAAAGCCCTTTGTAATGGAGTCCTTGCTTATGTAGCTATTTTCAATTTCTTATTTGACTATTTTGCTTCTCAAATCTCTGAAACTTAAACATTTTCTAAAATCTCACTGCCCCGCATCACAATAACACCCTGTACAACCTGGCACCTAGATAATTCCTATACAATACTGAGGACCCAGTTTAGCTGTCCTTTTCTCCAGGATGCCTCTCCTTACCACCCAAGGTTAGGTGAGAGGCTCCACCCTAAGTACTTCCCTAATAACTCTTACCTTTATCTTATCTCTGCAGTATGCACATTATATTCAAATATGTTGTTTCCTGATTGGGGAAAACATGATACATGGTTGTTCATATTACACATGCAGTATGTCCAGGAACAGCATACATAGCTATGTATCTCTAGTATTTAGCATGGTACCCTCTGTTTACTGAATGACTGAATGGAAAGTAACCATAACTCCTGCATTATAGAACTGGTACACAGTCCACCTAAAATTGAATGTAAAATCATTGTCATTTTCCCCAAGTTCATATTAAAATCAAAAAGTTATACGTACATCAATTAGATGGACTGGAAAATTTCTTGTGAGACAGGCCTGGCATTCTAGCTACTTATATAAAAATATTCCGAACTTTTATAAAACTATAAAACTTTATGGTCCAAGAAAAATCAGTGCATATATTCACCAAAGAACAAGTGTAAAATGTTCTTAGCACTTTTAGTCAATAGTAAAAAACTGTAAACCCAAATCTCATCAATATATATAAATTGTGCTGTATATAACAGAATACTATAAAGAAAAATTAACTACTCATATATAAAATAACATTGGTGAATCTTGCAGATACAATGAGTGAAAATGCTAGATGCAAGATACTACTATATGATTTTATTTATATATACTTTAAGAACAGAAAAACTAATCTATAGTGACAGCAGCCAGAATAGTGATTGTCTTTTGGCAGAATATAACTGACAAAAAAAGTGGTATTAAGAAACTTCTAGGAGGAGCGGGGGATTTAGCTCAGTGGCACAGCACCTGCCTGGCAAGTACAAGGTCGTGAGTTCGGTTCCCGATACCAGAAAAAATTTAAAAAAAAATAAACTTCTGGGATGCTTAAATGTTCTGTATATTAAACTATGCTGTGATTATTGTATGTATATAAATGTGTAGTTTTGTTAAAATTTATGAAATAATACGTACATTTGACAATTATATACTTTATTGTCTACATTTATACCACAATACAATTTAAACTACAGCTATTTAAAAACAAAGTAGGGGGCTGGGGATTTAGCTCAGCGGCAAAGCGCCTGCCTGGCAAGAGCAAGGTCGTGAGTTCGGTTCCCAGTACCGGAGAAAAACCAAAAAAATAAAAAAATAAATAAAAACATAAAGTAGAGTCTGGGGATTTAGCTCAGTGGCACAGCGCATGTCTGGCAAGTGCAAGGTTGTGAGTTTGATTCCCGGTACCAGAAAAAAAACAAAAATTAAAATTAAAATTAAAATTAAAAAAAATAAAAACATAAAGTACTCAAGCTGAAAAGTCTACATATGAATTCATTTCCTACTTTACAAAATTGTTTAAGTGTGAATTATGGGGTATTTATATTTGTAATTAGATATAAAACACTGCAAGTTTTTAATTTTTTTCTTTCTTTTCCCTCAGCCTACTTATCACTTCAGCATTTATACAAGAACAAATATAAACTTGTGAATTTCTGTTTGTTAGAAAGTGGAAGAGAAAGAAGAAACAAGACCAATGGTCCACACTCCCAAGAACTGTTTCCAAATGCTTTAAAAAGGCCACTGTGGGCACATGTGAAAAGCTCATGTGGCATAATGGAACGAGAAGAAAATTTAATGGGATGAAAGTTGGATTCTAATTCCAGCTTTGTCACCAAAATAAAATAAAGTTTTCTTCCCTATGCAGCTAATAATGTATCAGATGCTAACCTAGTTCTGTGATCTTGAGAAAAACAGCAGCAATGAGAAGAGTGCTTCACATTCCCTAAATTTTCAATTAGTGCAACATTATTTTAGCAGCTGTTTTGTTTACTAAACCCAAGATATTTTTTAATATAATAAAAAGCTCCTAAGTCAATTTTATATAGGTGACTTCTTATTAAGTATAGAAATAATAGTGATCATGTTCCTTTAGGAAAGTGGCATATTCATGTTCGTGTACCAAAGATGAGTAAGTAGTGCAACTGTTCAGTTAATGACTAAAATTACCTTTAAAAGTTTATCCCTCAGACAAATTGAGAGAGACAGAAAGAAGATTAGAAGTTGCCACATACATTAAAAGAAAGGGGAGTGATTAACAATGGGTATGGGGTTTCCTTGTGGAATGAGGAAAATGTTCTTAAAATTAGATGACAAAGACAGCACAACTCTGATTCTACTGAAACCAATGAATTAGATACTTTTACAGTTAATTCTAATGGTGTTTTTAAAAATAAAGTTAAAAGGTATTTTTCTTCTACATTTACGTATCTAGATTGGAGACAAGTGGAGAAAATAATAATACATTATGGTACAAATTATTTTATTTATTTAATATTTTTGGTACTGGGAATCAAACTCAGGACCTTACGCTTGCCAGGCAGGTGCTTTTGCCCCTGAGCCACATCTCCAGCTATGGTACAAGTTAAAGACTATGAAATTGGTCAATGCCCTCACTGTCTACAGTGTGTCCTTCTTCCAACACCCTTATAAACTGATATGCCTCAATAAAGGACGCTAATTTTCTCCATGCTGGTACTGTTGCCTATTATTATAAATCAACCTGAACCCATCCGTCTTACTTCCACAGGTAGTTTGTGTCTTTATGATTGCTTAAAGGCTCCTGTTACAAGCCACAGACCAGAAACTGAGCCTTCTGGAAGAAACACAAAAGCCTCAATAAAAGACTACACAAGCACTCTTGGGTGAATGTTATAAGGACATTACTGATGAAAACAAACACCCCAGAGTAAGCTGATATGGTCATCACAAAAAGTAGACACTTTTTAGAATATGCCAAGTGACTGTGTGTCAGGATTTTCTCATAGTCCAGGAGCAGACAACTTAATGGAATTAGACTTATTTTCTTAAAACCAACAGAACATGACGCTTTCCTAGATGAGTGAAACCACTCATAGCACTTTCTTTTATGCTTTTACTAATTCATGCTGTCATTTTTCCCTCACCACGTATGATCAGGTAGGGAACTGCTCTGTACTAGTGCCTTACAACCCTGCACAGGCAGGGTTCTACCACAGACTGGACCTAAGCCTTAGCAAAATGCCTTGTGAC